TACGGCCGACTTAAATTCCGGTTTATCAGTGACGTTCTAATTTTATTTAAAAAATATAAAATTATGATGTTTATTTTTTGTTCTTTGACATTATAAACATTTATAAATGTTTATTTTAACAATAAGACTGACAATATTATTTGTATAATGTGTTGTATTATCTTTTGTTTGTTTGTTTGTGTACCTTGTTTTTTTACTTTGTTTGTTAGTTTACCTTTGTCTACAAATTGAAAATTTTTTTGACAATAAAGGCATTTATTTATTTATTTATTTATTGATGTACGGTAGACGAGGGGTAGACTCAATATTTTTTTTTATTTTACGTTGTGAAGAAAAAATGTTGGTAGTTATTAAAATTGTTATAAAAATATAAAATTCTAATTAAAATAGATAAGTTATAATAATTATTTATTAACACAAACATCCGATACGCTGCTGATCCAATACGTGGTAGGTAAGTCAAAGGTCTGTTCGTTTTCCTGTTATTATCGATTCTGAATCGTCCTAGAACTTTCCAGCGCATTCGCAAATGAAATAATGTCTTCATATTTCCTTCTGAACGCTACTGAAGCAGGTAAGTCAAATTAACGTATCTAAATTCTTTGACATCTAATCTTTGACAAGTAGTAAATAAAAGCAAAAATGCAAGTAAAAATATATAATTAGTTAATTTAAGTGAATTTCATAAATAATCGGTTTACTATACGTATGTGTATATTATACAGGGTGGTCCGAACTGAATTCCGGAAACTTTGGCAGCATATTCTACAGATCAAAATAAGTAAAAAAAAATTACATAAAAAGTCATGGAAATGTATATTTCTTTAGTCAGTGGTTTTATACAGGTACGGTCGAAAAGTTATTACTCTTCAAAACAGTTCAAACACATGTAGGTGGCGCCCCCTACAAATAGGAGTAATTTTGACATCAAAATCCAATTTCTTGTGTCACAAAACTGCCAGATACCAATTTTCATCCAAATATTGACGTTACTTCAGATATTATTTGGAAAAAATCGAAATAAAAATGAAACTTCTACACCCTGTATCTCCGAAACTAAGCATTTTAGGACACAACCAACTATTTTAGTTTAGAGTCTTTTTCGATAAATCGCGATAGTGTCACTGTTAATTTAAGTTCTGCCACAATTTCCATCTAGATTTAGTACCTTTATACAACTATCAGTAGTAGAATAAATAATAAATAACATAAAATAAGCTCCGTAAAGACTGACAAATCCACAAAATTTCAAATCAAATTCAAATGTGTCAAATGAATCGTCAAACAGAACTGTCAAAGATCCCCACCTAGAGTCCTTTTTCCGCCCACCATGCATGTATACATTGATAGCATTATGCTCCTTCCTTAGTCTTCTTATTCAAAGGTTGTATCCATAGAGAAAGCCTAATATTTAGCTTATAAAACAATCAACTTTTGATTTCTAACCACAATTTCTCTTGACGGAAGATAATCAAAGGCCAAAATGACATTTCTCGCAAATTTTGAAGTATAATTAGTGGAAAACTTAAAAGTTTGACAACTTTTTCTACTAATTAAAAATATCTACCACTAATTTTGACGTTCTGAATGATAACGCTCAAATTAAAGGAACAAACTTCTACGATAATTGAAATCACCAATTTATTCCACTAATTGCGAAGTTCTGAATGAAGCTTAACAATGTAAAAGTCGGATTATTTAATAATATAAATACGAACTAAACCATACAGCAAGAAATAACGGCAAATAAAAATACAATACGGCAACAACAAAAAATCTATCCCATATTTCTATGGTCACGTATTTCTTGCCCCACCAATGCAACACGCTCATTTCCTCCTGTAAAACCAACGAACAGACGATGTTTCGTGTATGTCGGCGTGGCTTTCATATTGCGAAAATATCTGAAACATGATAAAAACCGTACCCGACCCTATAGAGTTCGAGCAGGAATTTTTCCTCATCAACATTCGTGTCGGTACCGGTGAAAATGCCGACATCGTGGCCGAGAACGCCGCAGAATGAATGTAATTTGATCCGGAGTAGTCCACAGGTTGAATTTTAATGGTAAAACGAAGAAAAATCCTGGGACAGATAAGAAGCAGTTCAACGGTACGGAAAAACACAGTTTTATATTTCTTATGAATTCGTTTTTTTTTGTTCTCTTATTTCTACAGGGTGAGTCATCAGTTACCCGGAGTCCATTTCACTGCTCCGAAAAAGTAGCAAAATAAGCGTTCGGCATTTAACGTTCTATGTAAAACTGGCTAGGTATTTTTACACAAATGAAGAAGGAAATTAAAGATAAAGGATTATGCTACATCCGTATTGTAGCACATTTTTAGACAACTTCTTTATTTTTATGATTTTGATGGTCAAACATCAACAAAATGTTCCTTATGGTTCGACTGAATTTTCTCGAAAATAAAGACATAATTTAAAATTCCGTTACAATACGGAAATAGATTGAAGTTTTGTGATTATAGTGATATATAATTTATATGGTTTTGTAACAAATTGCTCGCTATTTTATGGCAAATGGTGAAGCTCTGCTAAACTTAATCATGCCTTAATCAAAGCACGCGTGTTTGGAATATTGGGTGTGGCTTAACACGACAGGATCGGGCTAAGCCTTAAGCAGATTTCTGAAATATAATATATATTTCCTTCGGCCACATATCCGCTTTACCCGATCGCTGAGATCGACCCGAACAGCACACCGTAATAGACTCTTAATGCATTAATTCTGAAAGTACAAAAAAACATATTTTTCTTCTTATATTTCTCTTATATCATTTTGTTTCTCGTACCATCTGTGCAACAAGTTCATTTCCGCATGTACAATTTGTGCACAGAAGGTGTTTATTGTATGCCGGTCGCGAAGCTTTTATATCGCCAACAGATAAGCGAAATCTGGAACAGTAAACCCGAAAAAGAACCGTTTCGATGTTGTTTCTGTGTATTTGCTCTCATCAACATTCAAGTCGGGGCTGAAAGAAATACCAAAAACAGGTCGTGCTTGCAAACAGGTAAGTAAAACGGCGCTGAAAATGCACAGGAATAAGCGTAATTTGTAGTCAAACACTGTACCGGTTGAATTTCAATCTTGGGGTGACGAAAAACGCGATATAAAGATAAAGACAGAAAAAAAGAGTATAACATTTTTCTATTTGTCCAATCTACTCTCTATCAATTTACCCCAATTCAATCTCTCTATTATACGGGGTGACGCCTCTCATACTCCGCAAAAATACACCACAAATTGAAATTTGACCCGAAAAGTTATACAGGGTGAGACAAAATTAATATGGAACATTAGTCACTTTTAAAAGCAAGTTACTCCTTTATTTTAAATGGAACACCCAGTATATTATTTCGGTGTTCAATGGGGAATTTATATATCTTCAAAATATTATTAAAGTTGCCTACCCCTCAGACAAAGATTTTCCTAGATATTTTAATTTTTATGATTTTGCGTCAGTAGATCTTTATTATTTGAAAAAATCTAGGTGGCTGTGTGATATACCTTTTGTTAATTTAACAAGAATTAAAGATTGTAGAGTAAAATACACAAGGGTAATAAAAAAATACGCGTTTAAAACATATTTTAGTTATTACAGAATTAAAACTAGATATAAACCTATAATTATGTGACAAAAATTAGCTAGATGAAATCAAATGCTCAAAATGCTTCCTTTCCTTTTAACTGCATAAAATGATTTTTTTCAAAAGGATCTTTTCATTTTAAAAAAGCATATGTGGAGTTCTACCTCGAATAGCAGCTACAATAATTTCTCTCATGTTTTCGACAATGTATAGTTGGTCTAGTTTTCGAAACACTGTCTTTAACATATCCCCATAAAAATACCAGACTAGATAAAATCAGGAGCATTTGAATTCTATTAATTGCTGAATGCACACTGCATTCGCCAACTAATAAAATCATATCAATTCTCTCTGATGTAGGATAAGTTTGCATTTACGGCAAATTTCTGAGAAATATTTTTGTTTTAACTGACACAACATGATAACTAGTTGTTAAAGTTGGACTAATTAGATAGCTATGTTGAAGGAACATCAGACATATCAGGGCCACCTAGATTTTATCAAATAATAAAGATCTAATAATGTAAATGAAAATATCTAGGAATGTTTGAGGGGTACGCAACCTTAATAGTATTTTGAGGAGACATGAATTCTCCATTGAATATCGTATCCATTGAATAACATACTGGATGTTTCATTTAAAATAAAAAAGTAACATGCTCTTAAAGGTGACCAATGTTCAATATTAATTTTGTCTCACCCTGTATAACTTTTTGGATCAGGTTTTAATTTGATTTAAAATACATTTTAAAATACAATTTAAAAATTGTTCTTTATTTCTAGAAAATGTTAAATATGTCAAAAACCTTACATTTTAGTCATATACTTCTCTTCTAAAACTTACCTTTATTTTTCTCCCAGAATCCGAAAAACAATTAATATATAGGGTGTTCCATTACAAAAAACATAACTTTGATATGTAACTTTTTTTGGGGACACCCTGTAGAACTCTCTATATTTTTAAAAAGTGCTCTGAATTAACCTACATATGCACACAAAATTTTATTTCAATACAAACTGTCGCATGTCGTTCTCCTTGGAGCCTCCGCGCCTTACGAGAGGTGCCACCCTGTAGACAACAATGGGCCCAACTACAAAGGGAGTATCTAAATATGTGAGGGAAGCTACACCATAATTAATTGGTAATGGTTCACTAAGCTGAAAATGATGATGATGATGATGATGATGATGATGATATTATTCTTCAGTACTTCCTAGTAATATTCTTTCTTCCTAATATTCTATCATAAAAGTATAGTACTTTGTAGTTTGTCCTTAAATACTTTTAACGAGATTTTGTGAGGATATAACTAGAATTTGATAGAAAGTAGTAAAATTTTCAATTTAAGTTTAACTAAACGAGCTACATACTTCTAACGAGAACAATAACTTACCGGCACCAAAAATCTTCTCACTTCTGCCAGCGCGTAGGCAATTCTGGCGTGCGCTTCGGCAGGTGTGGCAAAAGCGCTTATTTCCACGTGCAGTTCTTCGCTTAAATGCTGGAATTTGGGATCTCCGCTGGCGCGTAGTTCCTCTTCCTGCAAAAGTTAAATTTATTAAATTTAACTTGGTTAGAATGTTTTTGATTATTCGCTTGTTTAAATTACAGAATGATCAATAATATATACGATAATCACAAAACGTGATCAACTATGAGTGACAAGCGATGGCGACAGCGCTGCCAGATTGTGATGAATTTATGAGATGAATCTTAATTTGAAATTGACAAACAATATATTTTTTATTTACAACCACATATGTAATACTGACATTACTGACTTTTAAAAAATTTGAAAGTGTCAAATTATCTACATTTCTTCCCTCTTATTCCCCATTTCCCTCACTCCGTTTTTCTTATTTCTCGCCTCATTTAATTAAGCAAAATATTCTTGTAATATCTTTATTAAATACTTATCTAACATCAACAAAAATAAACAAGAAGATTAACAATAATAATTGAAGATTTTAATCAGACATATAGAAGGGATAGGGAATAGATAGGTCTAATCAAATGGGGCGCCATATTCCAGATCTCCGTGTCATTTTGTATATAGGTGGTAACCTATAAGTAATCAAATATCAATTTGCTGTTTTCAACCATACAGGGGGCAATTTAAATTTAGTGACATTCTATCATTTATTATGGATGTATAAATACCTATCAGTAGATATATAGCTGTAGAACATTAATATGATTTATTTAATTATCATCAGTTTCCAAATTGCGTACAATATTGGTATATAAAACACTAAATATACGAATATTCTGACAAAAGACGCTACGGACAGATGACCTTTTCTTAGTCGTAACACTCGAAATGCCATTAAATAAGTATTTACAATTATTTCATGTTTACTTATGTACTGAATTACGTGTTTCAATTTAAAATTTTTGCAAATATGGTAAAAATTGTTCTAAACAACTTTTTGTTCAAGTTGTATATTCATAAAACACTTGGTTCATAATTATTTGTGATGATTACCTTGTATTTTTAAAATAAACCTAGAAAAATATGTTTTTGTTTCATTTTATTTTTTGATTCGTCCCTTCAAATACCATATGATCGAATAAAAACGGCGTCAGCGATGGCTATGAAATGAAGATCGCTGTCATTTTATATGTAAAATTATATGGGAAATGTCATCGATTGTCATTTCATAGCCATCTCTGACGCCGTTTTTATTCGATCATACGGTATTACTGTTACTTAACATGTTTTCTAACAAATATTTTCATAATACATAAACATCACACATACACAATAAAAATTATTTATTTTTTAATTATATTTCGTAAAATTATTTTGATACAAATTCAATTTGTCAAAATTCAAGTTATTAATATATTGATAGACAACCCAAATTATTCCTAAATATTTTATTATAAAAAAAACTGTTACCGGTAAGTTTGTAAAACACATTATGGTTTGTCTTAATACTAGAAATAATCATTTATTTTTTGCACAAAAGAAGCTTGCCGATCCTTATTTGTCCATAACAAAATTCTGTATGTACAACATACATATACCTAATTTATTATTAAGAAAATTAGATTATATGATCTCAGAATTTTAAGAAAATTTTTTTAAGATAAAATAGTTTCTTCTCTACTTTGGCCTCTATTTTATCTATTTAAAAACATGGGATTGACAATCCCCTTACTAAAATACATACTGGAAAGTACTGATTAAGTTTCATTGCATTAAATACCGTATGATCGAATAAAAACGGCGTCAGCGATGGCTATGAAATGAAGATCGCTGTCATTTTATATGTAAATTTATATGGGAAATGTCATCGATCGTCATTTCCCAGCCAACTGGACGCCGTTTTTTTCGATAATACGGTCTGGCCTTTTCTATAAATTCTGGCTCACAATTTAAGGCCATTGCAAAATGTTTTTTGAACTTCATCATAGATTTTACAAGAATAAAAGTGTAATATTGAAACAAACACTCTTAAAGTAAAAGGGTAAGCTTCATGACTAATAGTCTCATTTTAACACTCTTTAAATATCATCTCGTTAACAATTATGATTAGCATATGATTTTCTCAGTGGTTTGTAGCACAGATACGAATTAATATATGCCCCCATAACAGTTTTTAAATAAAAACTTCTGCCTACAGATTTAATTTTCTTATTGGCATAATACCCTTTCTTCCTATATAAATCTTGCCATTTTTTCAGTCCAATGTTCCTTGTTTTTACAGTTGTAGGAATACTAAAAATGCTGACTATAGAACTCGATACTATGTTTGAAAAAGCCTTCATACCTGTAACTGTGCATAAATCTAATTAGCTGAATTCTTCTCCTCTTGACACTCTGAACACTGCTGCTGCTGTTAGAAATATTTAGCACAAAACTACAACTACCTACAACAAACTTTACAATAAAAATGTTAAATTTTCGCTGTTCGATTAAAATACCCTATCTTATGTTTTCTTTTCATCCAAATAATCTTCTTGCCAAGTAAGGACCAATCTGTTTGCCAGAGTGATTCAATATTTGACATATTTCTGGTACACTTGAACTTGTGCTTTCATGGACACTATAAGAGTGCACTGTTTTACAGAAGCACGAACATTGATTCCAAGTATCTTCTTCCTCCATATGTAATAAAAACATCCTCTTCAAATGGCCACATCACACACTTATTTTTGACCATTCCCAATTACAATCACGATTTTTACAAATCGACTTTAGGAAAACTAAAAATAAACAGTTTTGGATCATCTGTAAACACGATTATGTTGTATAAACTTACTCATGAAAACTAATCATTTTTCCCGGCGTATTAGCTTTCTTAGAATGACTATGACAATATACAACAAGCCTTTTTGAATTAGTGTTTAGAATAATTGAGATAATAATAAATTTTAACTAGATAACAACACAAACGAAAAAAAACAAAACAAACAGATGTCAATTAAAGAGGGGAAGTGACAGCGAGACCTGGAAGATGTCTGCCATTTTGCCGTCGACAAAAATTTGGATGCGCACTCGTTGAAGCTCATTCTCCCACTTCCATATCTCTGATTTTAATACAATTATTTGTTGAAGGTTAAAATGCTAGACTTCTTTGGCTTAAAACCTACATTCTGGCGTTTTAAAAAAGCGACGAGTTTGTGATTTTTTGATATCTCAGTCTTTTTCCTTAATTCTAGCATTGTCCGTATCATGATGTACGTAGCCCAAAGAGTAGATGACTTTTTCTGCCTTGCCGTGTTGCTAAAATATGCCATCAAGACGTCTCCGAAGCAATATTCTTAGAATTTCTTTCGGCACACCATTTTTCGTATACTTTTAATGCTATTTCATATCGCCCCCTACTTTTCTCTGGAAGTAAACTGGCTTCTGCTCTTTTTGCAGCTTCTGTAAGTTCTGGTGGAGTACCAATATTAAAGTAGTCTTCATTATCAGAACTTTCCGACAACATTTCGGCTTTCTATATTACATAAATTCGAAAAAGCGAACGAGAAATTCACAACTGTCACTTAGTTGTTTGTTTTGCTGTTGAAGGTTAGCGCTATAACAACCACTGGTACCGGTAACTATAGATATGGAAATGCCAAAACAGAAAACGACAAATTTTCGCATATTTATTTTTTTTTTCAAAGTAAACTACTGTCCCTATTTTTTAATTAATGATATGGTTGTAAATAAAATAATATACAAACCTCGGAGGAAAATTGTCATTATTATCTCGAGATTTAGTTAATCTCTCGGTAACCTCCTCGGTATGTAATATACTATTATTACTCATGCGGGGAAAGTAGTATCTTTTCGCTTTCTTTTGGAGTTTAATATTGAAATTGGCCTTTTCCGAAATCAAACTGCCGAGGTAATTTAATTTCGCTACATATTCCAATAGTTTTTCTCGGATTTTTATAGCACTATTGTGATTTTCCAGTGTTGGAGTGCACATGATTTTAGTTTTATCAATGTTCAGCTTATTATCCACATTCCAGCCGTATTTTCAAATATTATTCTGCTGTTATAGGTACGCCATAAACTGTTATTATAGAGCTTTTAATAATATTCACGTGTGTTAATTCTCAATTACGATTTAAAATTGCGTCAGCTAGCTTATAACTAGAAAATTATAGCTGGTCGTGCCATAAAACTACGTATATGCGAGTATCGATTTAGAGCAGAGGAAGGTGTTGAATTTAGATAAATATGCATACCTCGAAACTGCGTAATAAATTCTATTATTAATGGATAAAATTTAATATCCTTAATGCGTATATGTGCGGAAATTAAGTTTAAATTGAACATTAAGCAAGCATTAATTGAATAAATTATTCCAAATCTTTATTAGCTTAAAATCAGGGGCTTTCGCACAAACCACCAGTCCAATAACAATGATTTGGGATCCATTAAATATAATGACTGTGAGGGGAGTACTATTTCTATATTCATGCTAAAGAGATGTTTGTCCTTTTTCTTGATATATTTGAATTTATTTTAATTTTTTTCTGAGTTATTTTTTTATATTTTCTTGTTAACTTTACAATAGGTTATATGCAAAGTGTACAAATTTGGAAAGACATTGGGTCAAGACATGATATAAAGTGAGATTATACTTATTATAATTTATTCGAGTAAATTAAGGAGAAATTTTATACAGGGTGTCCCAATATTCCGGGGACGTACAACTACCACGTATTTTTGAAATCTATATAAATTTATTAGACCCTTTGAATAAAAAGACTAAGGAAGGAGCATATCAAAAATCTTAGGTACACCGCGATGGGCCTCAAATATGGCCGACTTAAATTCCGGTTTATCAGTGTCGTTCTAATTTTATTTAAAAAATGTAAAACTATGTTGTAGGGTAGACGTGGGGTAAACTCAATAATTTGTTGTTTTATTTTACGTTGTGAATAAATGTTGGTAGTTATTAAAATTGTTATAAAAATATATAATTCTAATAAAAATAGATAAGTTATAATAAGTATTTATTAACACAAACATCCGATACGCTATTGAAGCAGGTAAGTCAAATTAACGTATCTAAATTCTTTGACATCTAA